GATCTATAGCGGCGTTTTTAGAACAAACGCTGCAGAAGGTCGAGATATATAGCGGCATTTTTGGAACAAACGCCTTTAGATCTATAGCGGCGTTTTTAGATGCAAACGCCGCTAATTAACGTTCTTGTTCTAAGATTAATTTATATTTTACATATTTGTTTTCTTCTCTACATCACCTAAATTTAATATCATGTAACTTTATCTAATTAACATCAAACATAAATTTAAACAACAAAATAAATTAAAATTTATAAACATTAAAATTAAATGTAATGTAGTTTGACATTGTTCTCTAAAATTTAGTCTAGGTACTTTCACTTTCAATTAAAAAAATAGTATTCACTAGAATTTAGTCTTCATTGCTCCTTCGTGGGAAAGGAAGTAAAAAACAATTTTTCCTTGTTTGATGAAGCATCGTTAAGTTTTTCCTCCGTATAAATTGTATATGGAGAAGTTCTTCATCAATTTCACCAAATAAATCCCCTAGCTCCGGTTCACCAAGAAGACTCCTTGTACGCTTCAATGCTTCACTTGAAACAGATAACGAAGTAGCAAATTGTTTCTTACATACATCTTATGAGTCTTCCCACTGCTTGTCATGCCATAAGCAAATATGGTGCCTGTGAACAAAATTTAACACCGTAAGGTAAAAGAACAAGTTTTGAGAAAATACAAATTAAACGCCATAACTTTCGATATCAACCCACAATTTCTGATGCAAAACTGTGACTACTATTCAGAGAATGCAAGGTAGCTTCTTGCTTGAAACAATAGTTACCAAGGAAGCATAGGATACCTCAGTAACAAATCGTTCCATAAATCTAAGATGAGTTTTCCTAGATTAAAATGGCCTTCCTACAAAGTGATTATGATGCAGAGTCTTGAAAAGGGACTATCAATTAGATCTCAATCCAGTTCTATGAACACATTAAATAGCAATCACCAACAAAATTATATATGCCAAAGCACTCGGGAAACCTCTTATACTTGAACCTACTCAATCTAACTTATAAGCAAAGACACCAGATTATACTCACTCTTAGCAACAAGCCTTGGCAATATTCTCAAATTTTGTTATATATCTTTACATAAAATGAATATTACACAGGTCACAAAGGCAGTAACAACCTTGTCCGATTCAACTTCTCATGGATAAATACATTCACACATTCATAAATCCATCAGCCCATGTTGGATGAAAATAGCCAAACTATTTAATCTCAAAGTATCCTTAACAATAATCTCAATCCTTATCAACTAGTTTCTTAACTTTCTTTTTGCCCACCATTGACAATTAAAAAGTAATGAATTCCTTTTTCATTATCAATAAATGTAAAAACGTTAACAAGTAAACAAGTTTACTGCATTTTATCGAATGATGTAAGTGCCAATTTTATCTAAGAATAGGTCTTCACAACATACCATTGATGCCTTCCATGGAACCACTGACAATATGCTGAGCAGCAACATTATAAACATGGAGTGTAGTAGTTGTTGGGCCAACTACTCTAATCATAAGTAATAACAAATCAATTAAGTGAGATCTAGAATGCTTAAGAAAGTTGGAAAGATAAAGGTGAACTAGATAATATAGACTACGTCCAATGCCTAAAATTAAAATGACAGAGTAAAGCATTTTTTATTAAATTTGTATAGAACATAAATAGCGAATAGTTCTCAAACTTCATCAAGTACCACAATGATATTTCACAGACACAAAACCCAAATCGGAACATAAAAAATTGTTGCACATGAAAAATGACGGAAACAGAAACATGCTTAACAAAAAAATGTCAAATGTGAATGTTAAACATCAAGAAGAGAAATGTTTTAAGAAGAAACATAAGAATTAGAATCCTCAAAACCTGCCTTAAGGCTAAGGAACAAAAGAAATTAAGGGTTACAAAATACAAACAACCTAAAAATTATCTTCAATATTTTCAGCTCTTTAACACTGGAATTGCCTCATAGTATATTTATTCTAACATCATTAGGTGGTGTCTACAAAACATAAAAATGGGTAAAATTAAATGTATCTTCAATCAAATACATAAAGAAACATGATTTTAAAACTCTGTTTAAATTTTTAAAGAAAAATACTACTTGAGAAAATATAAAACTAACCATACACATATGCTATGGATGGATTATGTTCATTTCTAACAATTGTCTCCTCATCCACATACCAAGCAATCTCCTCGTCTGTCTTCCTCATTCTTGTAAAGATCATCACCAACATCAGATTCATCACTGCTATCACGTTCACGGCCAGAACCAGCATCACCGTAATCGCCTTCTTCTTGACTGCCCTGATCATCATCTCTTTCAGCAGTGTCCAGCCTCTTCTTCAATGGAATTTGAGACCCGGATGGTTTTCTATTTGCATATCCATGATCATCATCTGAATCATCATCCCTAGAGTCACTTCCCCCATCTGAATATGAACCCTCACGTCGCCTTCTTGACGGTGGATGAGAGTGTTAGTTTCTCCCTCCAGTACATGTTCTTCCCGCTGCCTCAAGAAGCAAATTTTCTAAGTCTGCCATGATCACCCGAAAACCCTTCTACGCTGTGAAAGCTTGTTCCACTTCTGAAACCAATTAAGAAGTTGTAGGAAACCAGTTTGAACATTCATTACACACACACACACACACACGAATGCATTGGGTCGTACACACACAAGCAAACGAAATGAATACCAAAAACCAGTTTGAACATTCATTAAATACATATACAAAGCAAATTCCGTTACACATCTACAAAGGAATTATGATGAGATACTCTATTAAAACATATACAAAGCAAGCACATAACCCATATAGCAGGGTTTTCTTACACCCTATAAACTCGTATATGGTATAATAATCAGTGACATTTTTAACAGCAAAACAATTTCAATTGAAATATACTTAACAACTCGAGGTGTACTTTTGAAACCTCAGGTCCTTAACTTGCTCATCTAGCTTCCTTCTTCAGCTCTTTTACCATTATCATATAAATCACATATCAATTAATAAACATCATAGCAGAATAATGATAAAGCAACGATTCCATAAAACCACTTACTACGATCTAAAACCTAACCTAGATAAACTGAAAAAACCAATTTTTCTCATTCCCTGCATGCAACACCTTTTTTTTAATTTTTAAAATTTGGGGCGAAAATTGGATACCACGAATTTCAAAACAAAACAAAAAAGTGAAAGAAACAGATATGGCACCGGCGCCAATGAAGCGACACCGCCTTAACGTCGGAGATATGAATATACTCTGGAAACAAAGAGGGCAAACGAATGAAGAGAAACAAATCCTAACCTGGGTATCGCGAAAACCTTATCGTTTTCGTCGCAAATTTTTTTATATGAGTCTCAAATCATAGAGAAATCGAAGGGGAAGAAGGGAAGAATGGTTAAGAACAAGCTGGGTTGGATTTGGGATTTTAGTTATCGACCCATTTATTACAAGGTAATGGTTCTTTATTGCTTTTTAAATCCAATTTTGAACTATATTTTCGGCCAAAAAACAATAGGAATACGAGAAAAACATCATTATCACTCATTCACCAGTACAAAAGAGCAAAAGAAAATTTTTAGTATTTCTTTTCACTCAAATTTTTAAATAAAGTTTACCCATATCTTGATTCCTTCCACCATTAACAATAGAACGAAGAATTAATGGAGAATGAAGCTTACCCATATGTACTGTGTAGAATCGGAGAACAAGGGCTGAGCTTGAAATTAACGATGCTCCAAAGCCAAGAGAAAGAGCGAGAGAGGATGGGAAACTTAGAAAGGTAATATGGGATATTACTAGAGGGAGATGCCAAATGTGAAGGGAGAAGAACACACCAGGAATGGTGTTGGAAGCGAAGACTTTGGAGGCGAAGAAGGATGGGCGCAGTGAAGGAGATGCCTGCTGTAGTTTGGTGGGTAAGTTGTAAACGGCAGAAAGTAGACAAAAGAAGAAGATGGAAAATGGCTAGGGCTAGAGGAGATTTAAAACTGACTTTGTGGCGTTTAACAATACAAACAACACTGTTGTGTAACCAATTGCGGCATTTTTAATTAAAAACGCCACTAATGTTAAAAACATTTGCCACGTTTACTGAAAACGCCACTAAATATAATTTTATTGCGGCATTTTTGTAAAAACGCCACTAAAGTAAGATTCATTTACGGCGTTTGTTACCAAAACGTCGCTAAAGTTATAATTTGTTGCGATGTTTATTAAAAAACGCCACTATAGATAAACTCTATTACGACGTTTACGCCGCTAAAGTACTAATCTGTTGTGATGTTTATTGAAAAAACGCCACTATAGATAGACCTGGTGCGGCGTTTATTGAAAAAATGACACTATATATGAACCCTAAAACTAAATTTATAAAAAAACACCGCTAAAATTATCATTTTGTGATATTTGAAATGTAAACGCCGCTATATATTTAAAGTTAGTAGCGTTTACTCTCAAAACGCCGCTAAAAATATCGTTAAAGAACAGTAAATTTACTGTAGTGCTATAAGAAAACAAAATTCTAAATCTAACAACAAAGACTATATTATTTTATCATAAACCTTAAAAATCCTAAATCACCCACCACCCCCATCACGTAGACCACTAACCATGAAAAAAATTGGATGTGGTTTTAGGACTTAAAAGGTGTTCATTCATAGATATTGTCGCGTCTACGCAAAAGATCTACAGAAAAAAGTGTAGTTCAAGAATATGTTACGTCTGTAAAAAAGAATTCTCTCTAAAAAATGTCATTTTTAAAATTAATCAGGAATCTATGTTATTTTATTTATTTTTTATGTCTTTAATAATATGTAATAGAAAAAGCGATGACATGTCATAAAAATATATTTAAACTAATTTAATTTTGAAATGTTATGGTATTGTGTCGATATTTAATTGATTGAAAGGGTAGGTTAAAGCTTTTTTCCCTTTAAAAAAAAGTGAAGGATAAAAGAGGAAACTTTCCTTTCTTGAACCAGCAAACGCTGATAACCAAAGGATCTTTCCCTTCTATCTTATGGTTTTTAAGTTTCCAACGTTTTGTAAATCGGGAGGCTTCTGATTCCTGTCACCAGATCACTGAGCAAACATATCCCATTAAGGTAAAATTAATGAAAATAAACCCATCATTCATTCTTAGAGTGTGTTTTTCGGTTCATCTTCATGAGCTAAGATTCGTGGGGTTTTTTTTTATCACTTTTCTTGTTTTAGTATCCTAGATCAGGGGTCTTTCACTAGGGTTTCAGCTAAAAAATTCCTCCATGAAATCGGCAGAGAACTCAAGAGAAACCCTTTTTAAGTCACTTTATGTTGTTTTTCTATGAGAATCTTTGTTTTTGGTTTTGATATTTTTTTCTATTTTAGGGTAGAAATGGCGAGGGAGAAGATCAAGATCAAGAAGATCGACAACGTGACGGCGAGGCAAGTGACTTTCTCGAAGAGAAGGCGAGGGCTTTTCAAAAAGGCGGAGGAGCTTTCGGTTCTTTGCGATGCTGAGGTTGCTCTCATTATTTTCTCAGCTACTGGAAAGCTCTTTGAGTTTGCTAGCTCCAGGTATATTCTCCATCAGCTTTGGATAATATTCTTCTTCCTCTCCTTTTACTCTCTGTCTGCTTATATCATAGCCATAGCTGAAGAGAAAGAGTTGGGGGAAGTTATTGTACTAAGCTTCCATTGCCATGTTTACATCCCATGACAGATGTTTCAAAACAAAAATTAACCCTTTGATGAAAAAAGAAGCAAAGTCTTAAACAAACCTGTTAATACAGACGGCTGATCTTTGTTTTGTTCAGTTTCCATAGATCTTGGAGGCTATGGTACTGTGTTAACTCTTTTGCATAAAATAGTATCTCTCTCTCTGTCTCTCAACAACAACAACAACAACAATAAATAATTAATTGTAAAACCGTTGGATAAACTTGGGTTCCTTGTTTCTTATCATCCACATGCTCCTCAGTTACTGGTTCGGTTTTCCATGGTCTATATTTAGATTCTTTTCCGGCACATTTAGCTAGAGTTTATCCATTTTTAAATCCACCCAGAAGATTTTAACTTTTTTACGTTATATTTATATATTATTTAGATTTTAATGGGGTATTAGACAAGCCTAATCCCGCTCGGATACACTCATGTTCATTAAGCAAAAATGATGTAAATCGAGGGGATGATTTAGAAGATGAAATCATTGGGGATAGTTTTTTTTTGTTGATAATTTTCAATGTCTTAATATTAAATACAATGTGAAATAAGGTTTAATTTTATAATCACTTTATTCCATAATTTTTAAAATTATTTTAGTTTTTAATGTTTTATTTTGAATTAAAATAACTTATGATTGAACGAAATCGGTAGTTAACTATCTGTCAATATTTGTTATTTTTTTATAGAAATCAATATTTGTCATTTTTTTTATAGAAATCAATATTTGTAATTGATGCGACAAGTCCTATGTATCTAAAGGATTAACGTAATATATATCACGTTATCACTTTTGCCAAATGCATGTGTTATGTTGTCATTTGATATATGGCATGTGCTACATCATTATTTTAGGCACGTGATATGTGATACACCATCACTTTAGATATATGATATGTGACATATCACTATTTTGCACACGTAACATATATCACATCATTATTTTGGGATGTGATATGTGCTACATCATTACTTATATACACGTGGCATATATCATGTCATCACTTATTTACATGTGTCATTTAATACATCAACACTTATGTACACATGGTATTTTCTTACCAGCCCTTTGGACAAATAATATTTGCCACGCCATTGGCAAGTATTAACCATTTATTACCTAATAATTTTTATTCAATTAAAGGTCGTTTTGACTCAAAATTAAATATTATGAACTAAAATAATTTTAAAAAGTAAATAATTATTTATTCAAACCTTTAATATATATCTTTACATTATGTCTTAATCTTTAGAGCTTTCAGCCTGATTTCTTGGTTCATGTACTCCTAATTCTAGATTCATTGCGAAAGGTTTTCACTTATATTTCAATTAAGTGTAAACCCACCAACATTTGGAGGATTGTGTTGTTATATCCACATATGAATATATCAATAAAAGTGTTGGATGCGATGAGAATTGCTTACCAAGTTGTATTGGCCCTTTACCTTGTATTAATAATAAGTTTGTAATTAGGACCACCGTAAAACAAAGTTTATAAATAGTTGGGTAAACAACACTTATGACCACTTAACTATAGAGATTGTAATATGACTATCAATCTTTCAATTTCGTCAGGCAAACTACTTAATTATTTAAATGATATCAATCAAGTCACATATTGTTAACATTTGACAGAGGAGCTAACATGACTGTTAACAAAATTGATATGATTTCACATTTAGTTCTCATTACTTACACACTCTGTCAATTTGATCTTGATTCAATAAATTTAATTTAATAATTATGATTGATAGAATGTGTAAGTAATGATGAGCAAATGTGGAATTACATCAATTTTGTTAATTGACACGTCAACTCTTATGTCAAATATTAACGATAGGTGATTTGATTGATATCATTAAAATAATTAAGTGATATGATTAAAAAATTAGTGGTCATATTAAAATCTCTCCAGAATTAAGGAATCATAGTTGAACTTATTTCTTTTTCATGCTTCTCTTGGCTCAGAAGTGTTTTTTTTTCCATACATAATATACTAAATTACTTTCATTTAATAACTTTTAATAATTTACATTATTTAGTTTAAATACAGTGTATTTAATTTATTTTAAAGAGGTTTCTTAAAGTGAATTTTCCCCTTTAATGTCAACTTTAAATTATGGAGTATTTTTTATGCATGGATAATTCTTTAATGCTTTTGCAAAAAATATGTTAACAAGACGGAATAAGTTTAAATTTATATTTTTTATGCATGGATAATTCTTCAATGCCCTTAAGGTACGTACTAATCACATGTTCCAACATTTTATCCATATTCTTGTCTAACTCTTGTTTTTGATCTAGTAAATAAATAGGTATGAGAATATATTGTTGCGGAAGACGGCTATCGGATAGAGTAAAATCGCAACTGATAATTTGAGAAAATAAAAGAGACACGGAATTTACGTGGAAAATCCCTAAATAATATAAGGTAAAAAACCACGGGCAACGGTAGAAGAATTTCACTATGAGAAAATAGGAATTACAACTTCTCTCTATCTACAAGGGAGAAAACAATGATAATTTTCTCTTGATAAAAAAGAGAAAAATAACTCTCAAGAAACTCTCTAAATTCTCTAGTATTGGAAAAAAGCTAGAATGTTTTGGATGGTTTTGAAGCTAAATAAGTTAGGGTATTTATAGTTGAAGTCTTAAGGACTAATTTGTAAATACCATAAATTACAATGATTAAATTTAAGTTTTTATCATTTTATTTTTCAACAATTTGGTTACCTAAATTTGACAATATTAATTGCCCAAAACCATTTTTCCAGCTGCCTTTGAAAATTGCACCATTCGGTGTTTACCTTGTCTTGTGGAAATTTCAACAATCTCCCACTTGAAGATTTGATTGTAACAATCATATCTTCACACCATTCTTTCTACCTTGTATCTTCATGTTGCTTATGTTTCTGACAGGCCACAGGAGGATCGACACCAATTAAATTTATCAGTGTTGATCGCCTTCGTCATGAAATCTGCTATGTTGTCTTTGGTATGGATCTTCTGCATATCTATTGTTCATTCTTCCACTTTTTCACGAATGAAGTGGTATTGAACTCGTATGTGTTTTGTCCTTGAATGAAATGTTGGATTCCTTGCTAGATGCAAGGCGCTTTGACTGTCACAAAACAGAGAAACATGCTCTTGATTGTGCTCAAGCTCCTCCAATAGCATCTTTAACCAAATTGCTTCTTTACTGGCCTGTGTAGCTGCTACATATTCTGTCTCTATTATGGATGTAGCCACAACTGACTGCAATTTTGAAACTCAGCTTACAGCTCCACCAGCAATTTTGAACACATATCCTGTAGTAGATTTGCTTTTATCCAAATCCCATGCATAGTCTGAATCTACATACCCATTGATTAGTAAGTTTGATCCTCCGTAACATAATGCAACATTTGAGGTCCCTTTAATGTATCTCAGGATCCTCTTTACTGTATTCCAATGCTCTTTGCCTGGATTCGTCATGTACCGACTAACCACTCTCACTGCTTGTGCAATGTCTAGTGTTGTGTATATCATAGCGAACATAAACTTCTCACTACTGATGCATACGGTACTCGAGACATCTCCATCCTCTCTTTTTCACTGCTAGGACTCATACTGGAGGATAATTTGAAGTTAATAGGAAGAGGGGTAGAAATTGGCTTACAATCTTGCATGTTGAATCGTGACAAGATCTTCTTCAAGTAATTCTTTTGTGAAAGTCAAATCTTCCTATTACTTATGTCTCGGTGAATTTGCATCCCTAGAATCTTGTTTGCTGATCCCAAGTCCTTCATTTCAAATTCCCTAGTTAGTTGTGCCTTCAATTCTTCAATATGATGTTTGTTGGGTCCTGCAACCAACATGTCATCCACATACAACAGCAATATAACAAAATCGTTATCACCAGACCTCTTGAAATAAGCACAAGGGTCTGCATTAAGTCTGTTGTATCCAAGGCACATAATGAAGGAATCAAGTCTCTAATACCAACACCTCGGCGCCTGCTTTAGACCGTACAGAGATTTGTTTAACCTGCAAACCAAGTTCTTATTTTCTTCTTCTTCAAAACCTTCAGGCTGGAGCATATAAATTTCTTCTTCAAGATTTCCATGAAGAAAAGCTGTTTTAACATCTAGTTGCTCTAGATGTAAATTCAATATAGCACACATTGCCAAGACTACTCGAACTGTTGTTAGTCAAACCACAAGAGAATATTTCATTGAAATCAATATCTTCTTTTTGAGCATATCCTTTAACCACCAGTCTTGCACGATACCTCTCAACTTGATTGTCACCATTTTGCTTGATTTTGAAGACCCATTTGTTCCCAATTGCCTTTCTTTATTGTGGTAGTGGCACAAGGTCCCATGTATTATTTTTATGAAGGGCTTCAATTTCTTCTTGCATCGCCATCATCCATAGTGAAGCATCTGAGTTGTTTATTGCCTCCTGGTATGTTGAAGGCTCACCGTCTTCTGTTAAAAGGCAGTATGCAACATTTCCTTCTATAACATAATCTGAGTGCCAATTGAGACGTCTTCTCACACGATCTGATTGAGGAGTTGTTGGAGCTTCAGAACTCTCTGATTCTTGTTCATCATGTGCTGGTTCTGCTTCAGAAGAATCTCCTTCTTCAACCTCCTTTTCCATATGTATCTGTGTAGTCTCTGACTTTTTAGCGCTATCATCGTCTTCGTTTCTTTGTAGTTTATCTTCTACAAAGATAACATCTCTGCTAATGATCACTTTGCAGGCAGTGGGATCGCACAAGCGATACCCCTTGACTCCATCAGTATACCCCAAGAATTTTCATTTCCTGGATTTTGGATCCAGCTTTGAGATTTCTTGGGAGTTGTACATCACGTACACAATACTTCCAAATACATGGAGGTTTGAATAATCAGTTGGTTTACCAATCCACATCTCCATTGGTGTCTTCAGCTCTATTGCAGTTGATGGAGCTCGATTCATCAAATAACAGGCGGTATTGACTGCTTCTGCCCAAAATGATTTTTCTAGGCATGTATCCCTCAACATTGCTCTTGTTCTTTCTAACAAGGTTCTGTTCATCCGCTCTGCCACTCCATTTTGTTGAGGAGTGTTCGCTACTGTGAACTGTCTTTTGATGTCTTCGTTCCTGCAAAAGTCATTAAATTCTTCGCTTGTGTATTCTCCTCCATTATCTGTTCTTAAACACTTGATCTTATTTTCAGAATCAAGTTCCACCCGCGTTTTGAAGTTTTTGAAAGTGGAAAACACATCTGACTTCTTTTTAATAGGATACACCCAACATCTCCTAGAGTAGTCATCAATAAATGAGACAAAGTATTTTGCTCCGCCTAGGGATGTTACTGGTGCTTGCCATACGTCAGAATGTACCAATTCTAGAACACTTTTGCCTCTAGAATTTGATGTGTTGAATTTCAATCGGCGCTGCTTACTTGTTATGCAATGCTCACACAAAGTAAGTGATACCTTTGTTAAGCCTGGAATTAGCTTTTGCTCCACAAGGACTTTCATTCCTTGTTCTGACATGTGTCCAAGTTTCTTATGCCATAGCATTGCAGAATCTGAACTACAAGAGGCAACAGAGACTTATGCTTCTAGCAATGTCTCTCCCTTCAGCATGTACAAGTTTGCAGCTATCTTTTCACCTTTCAGCACCACAAGCGCTCAACGGAACACCTTCATGATTCTTTTCCGTGTTTCAATCTTGCTAACAATATTATTCAATAATCCGTAGGATAATAAATTTTTCTTCATACCTTTCACGTGCCGCACATCTCGGACAACTTTAATTGTTTCATCATACATCTTTAATTTGATGGTTCCAACGTCAACGATCTCTAAGACATGATCATTGCAACTATACACAGATCCTCCTGAGACAGGTTCATAATGATGGAACCATTCTCTTCTTGAGGTCATGTGATATGTTGCTCCCGAATCAATGAGCCATATATCTGCAAATCGTTTTCTTCCTTCCACGGTGGTTGACGCTTCACAACATAGAGCATCTCCATCATCTGAAGTGTTTGCGGTATTGCCTTGTGGATTAGAGTTTTTATTTAGACTTCAACAATCCTTCTTCAAGTGACCCTTCTTTCTACAGTTGTAACACTTTAAATTCTTCTTGCTTCTCGACTTCGATCTACCATGTTTATGACTGCTGCTTTGGCCACGTTCTGTTGATCTCCCTCTCATCGTTGTCATCGTTGTCAATGCTTCTGCTTGTTGCAGATTTACTTATCTGTCTTCCTTGTTCTTGCGACAATTTTCTTCTTGTAGAACAGCAGCTGCAACGTCATCGAAGACTAGATTGGTGACATTACTATTTGTCAAGTTGATGATGAGTTGATCATACGAATCCGGTAGACTTTGAAGTAGAAGTTCAGCACGTTCTTGTTATCCTATTTTACAGCTTAAGGATGTAAGCTGAGAAAATAATGTGTTCAGTGTATTTAAGTGCTCCGTCACTGAAGTAGATTCTGACATCCGGAGAGTGTACAATTTCCTCTTAAGGAAAATTTTATTGTGCAACGATGTGGCCTCGTACAATTTGGTGAGATAATCTCATATCACCTTAGCTATCTTTTTCTCCTCGGTGCTTGACAATACTTTATCTGCTAATGCTAGATGAAAGTTTGTCATAGCATTCCCGTTCATCTCATTCTATTTGCTGTCATCTGTGAAATCCATCGACCTTTCATTGATAGCCGCTAGACACCCGTCTTTTCTCAGGATGGCCTTCATCTTCAATTTCCACAATGAGAAATTTCTCCCATTGAATTTTTTCAATATCAAATTTCGTTGCCATAGCTTCTATTACGGATAGCTCCCACTATTTCACTATCGTGAATAGTTCTCTAGAACCTCAAAGAATGTGTAATACCTTCTTATTTTTTTATGTTGGAGGATCCATTTTTTGATGGCAACCACAAAGACAATAAGCAGATATTACACACTCAAATCTGGCTCTGATACCAATTGTTGCGGAAGACGACTATCGGATAGAGCAAAATCGCAACTGATAATTTGAGAAAATAAAAGAGACACGGAATTTACGTAGAAAACCCCTAAATAATATAGGGTAAAAAAACCACGGGCAACGTTAGAAGAATTTCACTATGAGAAAATAGGAATTACAACTTCTCTCTATCTACCAAGGAGAAAACAATGATAATTCTCTTGATAAAAAAGAGAAAAATAACTCTCAAGAAACTCTCTAAATTCTCTAGTATTGGAAGAAAGCTAGAATGCTTTGGGATGGTTTTGAAGCTAAATGAGTTAGGGTATTTATAGTTGAAGTCTTAAGGACTAATTTGTAAATACCCTAAATTACAATGACTAAATTTAAGCTTTTATCATTTTATTTTTCAACAATTTAGTTACCTAAATTTGACAAAATTAATTGCCCAAAACTATTTTTCCAGCTGCCTTTGAAAATTGCACCATTCGGTGCCTACCTTGTATCGTGGAAATTTCAACATATATATTTTATAAATATATATGTTCTTTGAAAAAGTTTGAACTGTAACTACCCATATGGTTAATGCCGGAATCAAAACACTACTTATTTGTTAAACGCGGATAATGGGATTCTACCGTGATACTGTCATGCTTGATATCCAATTTCATCTAATTTCCCATTACTAAGTAGCTACTTGCTTCCTGTTTGTTCTGCTGTATTATGCTCTGTTTTATGGCTTGGTTCGTTTTACAGCAGCTCAACTACGTCTGTTCTGGTTTTTGTGCTGCTTCCTGCTGTTCCAGATTCCTCTTCGACCATGTTGTTCTGCTGTATTATGCTAATTTGCTCGTCGACAATATCAGTGGCAGTAAATGTTTAAACATGGCCTCTAGCATCTACGAATTTTCTCTATGTTTATCGACATTTATTGAGCAAATAATAACTGTTAGAAGTAGCCATAGGAGACATCTGATACCGCCCCTTGTTATCTGCATTAATATGGTTTTCTCTTGAATAAATCTTTCGTTTGTAATGTTTCCTTTCTTTTGTTCTCCCTAAAGCATGAAGGATATACTGGGAAGGTACCATGTGCAGACCAACAATCCCAACACATTGGATCAACCATCTCTCGGTCTTGAGGTAATTTAAAATGTCCATTTTACTTTTACCATTCGTATATTGTAATCTATCTGTGACGACACTCTTTTTGATAAATTTGAGGTAGTAGGTTCAGAATTTTTCTTAGTTTATTGATAACGCGCGCACACAGACGTATCTACTTGAATCCATATCCTCTAGGAAAAACAACTTTCCCTCACTCATAGAGTTCTTATATATATACAACACATAAATATGGATTTACCAGGTATAAATTTCTAATTATTTTGTTCTTTCTTTCAAATGTAGTCGGAAAACGGTGTCAGATGAGATTGAGCAAGGAATTTGCTGATAAAACCCTTGAACTAAGGTCAGTAATAAGTGATTTGTTGACTGTTGTTGAAGGTAATTCGACATAAAAAAAAGTATGATATCTTTGTATTAAACAGGCAGATGAGAGGGGAAGATCTTCAAGGATTGAACATTGATGAATTGCAGCGACTGGAGAAGCTGCTAGAGTCAGGACTCGCGCGAGTTCTTGAGACCAAGGTTCATACGAGTTCATCTGGAAAGAGAATTCTTGATTTTGTCCATTGTAATAAAAAAATTTGTATTCTCATTTTTTCTCTCAGGGTGAACGTATTATGAACGAGATCTCTTCACTTGAAACCAAGGTATGTACAATGGATTTGTTTTATATACATTTTGACATTTGTGTATATTTTTCCTGGTGTTCATGTTTTTAGGGTTTTTCTTCTTCATATTTTGTGTCGGGTAACACTATCATATCTTGCATTGTCTGGTTTATTAAAATTATTAGGGAAAAAAAATTAGAATTTGTGATTTGAATTTCATTAGGTTTAAGAAGATGGTGATGAATTATTTTAGGAGAAGAAAATAAAGAATTGTAGTGAATGTCAAGATTCTAAGAAATCAGAGACAGATACTTTTGACAACACAAAAGTATTTTAAGTCTCATATTTTAGGTCTTTTTTAATTTAAATATAAGTTAAATTAAGTTTTTTTAATCAAAATTTGAGATTAAATATATAATTAGTCATTATTTTGAGCTTAGATAATTTGTCCTTCCTAGTATTTGATCTTTAACTCTATTCTTGTGGAAGACGATGCTTATCTCTTGTACAATTTTGACTACAACGAATTTACTTTTCTATTTGTGATTATTTTCGTCTAGAGTTTTCATGTAAAATCTGCATATTCATTTTTATATACTATTTTGATTTGCGACTTCTTGCAATTATCTTGTTCAATTTCGTCTAAAATTCATTTTCTATCTGCTTATGTCTCTCTTTGATGATGATGATGACAGGGAGCAAAGTTACTGGAAGAGAACAAGCAACTTAAAGAAAAAGTAAGCAGACTAGTTTCCATGGTAATATGTTAAATACTTCAATTTGCAAGTTCATTATAAAAATGTCGACAAAAGATTCATGGGATCTTTTCAGTTGGTGTCATTGTGCAAAGGCAAAAGACTTGTCTTAGCAGATTCAGATGTTGCAGCTCAGCAAGAAGGCATCTCATCGGAGTCTGTCGGTAATGTTTACAGTTGCAACAGCGGCCCTCCACCGGAAGATGATACCTCAGACATTTCACTCAAACTAGGGTAAGTTAAAAAATCGAACTTCACGACGAATATTTATCGAATTGGGTAGAAAAAATTCGAGATTTTTAATTTCGAGCTTTGTGTATAGATAAAATAGAGGTCGCAATGTTTGTGCTTAATTGTTTTCATTTTGTGTTCTTTGCAGGCTTCCCTTCTCTTAAGATGAATCCTTGCAAGAATACATTCCTATGATTATATGTATTAGGTTTAAAGTAAATATGAAACATATAATATACATTTATATATAATATTTGAGGTTGGAAGTTTCATCTTAAGTTACATTGAACTTGTTCTAGTAATTGTATATATTTGGATACATTTATAGATAATATTTCACCGGTCCATGAAAATTTCACACTAAACTATGTATCTTTTCATCTAAACTATGCATCTTTATACCATTCTTCCTTCCATTCAAAATACACATTATTTGATTCAAATCAATAAAGGAAGAATTTTAATCCATTCCATTTAAGATTTTAATTGAAAAAATATTTATTTTTAAAAAAAATTAATAAGGAAACATTGTCATCTTCCTCGATTATTCATCTACCTCAATCGATTCCAAGTGAAGGAGAGTTTTTTATGAGTTTAATTTTCTTGTTTCATTCGAACAAGAGTAAGGAAATGAAGTGATTACAATACCTTGATTAAGCTAGAATTTAGAAAAGTGTAGCAGTTGCAAAAATATTCTAAAGTGATAATGAAATCAAGCCCATTGATTTATTTTGTTTAGAAGTGGAAATTTGATTTGGAATAACAAGGTAAAGATGTTTGTTTTGATTCTTAACATGTATGATATTTGGTGTAATTGATTTAATTTGTATGGTGTTGAAATCTACCGTGAATGTGTAAATGATTTAATTTGTATGGTGTTGAAATCTATCGTGAATGTGTAAATGATTTAATTTGTATGGTGTTGAATATATTGAGTGTTTTAATGATAAAAAGAGTATTGTTCTTCTTGGAGGTCTCAAATTCGAGTAGTGGTGTCTGTAGGGTTTGCACACATTATCAATGACTAAAAAAAATGTTAATTGACAATTTGCATAATTCATCACTTAATTATTTTCTTACTTCTATTTTGGTTATTAAAATTTTAAATTACTTCTATTTTGGTTATTAAAATTTTAAATTACTTCTATTTTGGTCACTATAAGATGACATGATGCCCCTTTCCTTTTCGATCACCCTCTGTCTATCATTATTTAATTATTGCGCCTCCAAATGCACAACCCCCTAAATCTCAAACTCTTATGATCGCATTTAAGAGTTCTTTTTTCTCTCACCCCTGCTCTTAGCACTCGCTAATCTATCTAACACATTACTTTGGTCACTCCCTGTGCTCTCTTGTCTAGAACGAGATGACATGCCCGACATTTTGACATCCATCTATTCTACGACACCATCATTCCGTCCTATTCTATGTGGCACGTTCCAATATCCTTATCATCTCATATTTGTAACCCTCATGCAGTCATCTTACTTTAACACCAAATAAACCCCTCAAATCGTTTAACTTTAAACTGAATTCTAAAACCTTTGAATTTTAAATCATACCCCCATAATCCTCGTACAGTAACTTATCATCATTTGTATAATTTATTTATTATTAAAAAATACAAATATAATTATAAACATCAAATATTATAAAACATTTGGATTAAAAATAAAAAAAATTAGTTACATGTTTAATTTATTTAATTAATTTGGTTTAATGGACTATTTGTTCTCTTTTAAGTAAACATGGTTAATTCAAGATTGTGATTTTATTTTGTGTTCAAATTAAAATTCCACCAACGAATGTTAGGCACCAGTGGTCTAGTGGTAGAATAGTACCCTGCCACGGTACAGACCCGGGTTCGATTCCCGGCTGGTGCATGTTCTTTTTAATTCTTCTTTTTATGCTTCCGAACGTGCCTAAATTCCGTTGTAAATTGAATGAGAGACCTTCAATGGTATTATCCGTCCGTCCATCGAAACTGCATAACTCATTCCATCTTGAATCATCAAAGTCCAGAACTTGCTTCTCCTTAGAGTTCTTTTTTGTTTATTTTATAATGGCTCCCCTACAGCATTCGCCATTCAAACCATTTCTATTACTTGCACTCTTCACCTTTGTGTTGTGTGCATAATCTGATACGTTGTTAATCTAATCTGCTTAGATCAATAATTGTAATTTTGGTGTAGAAGACACAATGTACTCTTAGGAAGAAAAATACATATTCGATCTTTACAAATAATATTATTGAAAAGGATAATCACAAATTCCGAAAATATTAGTTTTCATAGACTAACTTTGTAACCCTGCAAAACAAACCCCAAACCAACAACAATATTATCTTCACCTAAACTTCTACATTGATAGCCACTCACTGGCCTCCTTCACCTACACCGTTATCTTCTTGGACCAAAGCAAACAAAAACGATAGAATCTTTGCTAATCCAGAGCTAGTATCGTCTTCTCCATTTGTCCACTCGATGTACAGTTGTGAAAGAAAAAGAGAGAAATAAAATGGTGGAAGCTTTCCTTTGCTTTGATTTATATGGAAGCAGATGTTTCGGGCACTCCCTCTAAATAAAAGAAACAGATGTTCTATCAACCTAAAATTACGAAACGAAAATTTTCCATGATGATTTTGCATGAACTAAAATTCTATAATTCCCTACACCAAATCCAGACTGTTAGATATCGTATTTAGGAATTCTTTTTATATTTAAAACAATGTTAAATCCATATAACAATATATATGAAATGGGTCATAAAAAATGTCACATATATATATCAGAAAATCTATAAAACATATACATAACAAAATATCTGTAATATAATATATGAGATGGTAGCAAAAACACGTGGCTCCAAAGTATAACAAAAATACATATAAAAATATACAGTGGTACAAAAATAGGAGTGGTCGGTTCTCCTGATACTAAGTCTGCTAGCCTAAAATCTGCTACTATATGAAAATGTTAAAATTTACAGAATTAGCTAAAAGCCCAGTGCTCCTTACGGTATATAAAAACATACATATAAAATACTTCAATAAAAATCAGTTTATCAAACATGTTTTAAAAATATGACCACTACCCCTATCTGATCATCAGAATGTGTAGGTTCTCCATAACCATACACCCGGTAAGTCCTTATACATATAGCATAAGGACATGTGGTAAGGACTAACCCTGAGCACAAAGCAGAGGAGTCTGCGGTAAGGACTTACCCTGATCACAAAGTATAGGAGTCTGCAGTAAGGTCTTACAAGTCATAGACTAGGCCTGGTATATTTCCTTTAATAATACCCCAATTACAGTAATAAGCATGTATGTATTCGAGTGAAAAAGATAGTTTAATCCATTAAAACATGAAAATATTCCAAACTCATAAATCAGATACAGAAAATACAGAAATCAGATATCATATCAGAAATGTACAGTAAATCTGATATCAGATAAACATTATTCAGAAAATCAGGTATTGTGTCGTAAAAGTATTCAATATTATCATAAATCTAAAATTCAGATGAATAGTTTAAAACAGTAATGTAACACCATCAGAAAACACTTGTACAAGTCTGAGTAGTCTTATAAGAAAGCCTACTACTGAGTCTGTCGATCACGATCAGTGGCAGCGCTAGATCTTACGAATCGAAAAATCAATATCTAAATCTTAATATGAATAATAATAATAATTCATATTTAAACAATTCACATATGCATACGAGTAACTCTCGAGGAACGCATATAGTATGGATCTGACGGACGGGAAACACCGAATCTAACTGACCCTAGGTCAGGTAAAACACGAGTACTTTCATAAAAAATATTCTCGACTCAATTTCATAATCAAATCCCAAATAAATAAGCAAAAATGCTAAAAATACTAAGCATATTCAGATGAACGGACTCGATTCAGGGATTTCGGTCAGAATTTGGTAAAACAAATCGCGAAATCATACTCAGGACGTCGAAAAAGTAAAGATAGAAGTTTTCGAGAGAGAGAAATTCAATGCCAGTCAATGTCGATCAACGGTTAATGGTTAACTGGTTCGGGTCGGGTCAGGTAGGCAATGGATCGGGTCGACCAAATTTCAAGCAACCCACCAGATGGTGGAACTTCCCCATGCGCAGTGGCAGCGAGTGGGGCGCGTGCAAGGTCTCTAGGGATTAAAAAAATCCTAAGTACGTTTTAAGAGGTTTTGAGACATTTACCAAGCTCGGTTCACAGCGATGAACGACAGAGAGCTCGATTTTGAAATGTTGAAAACTTAATATTCCTTACCCTTCACACGTCAACGACAATGGAACAAGATGGACATTGGTTGATTCGGGACGAAGCAAGGAACATGATGTAAAGGTATCAAAAATGGAGTAACGGTCGGCGACAAAACGTCGATCAAAGGTTTCCTTCTATAAGAGGAAAGGTTGAAAAGAGATTTGAAACTTTCCAAAAATGTTCTGATTTTTGGGTTTTAAACTCATACTTATAAAAAATTGTTTAATTATACTATAGGTCCTTCATCTTTAGTACTTCTCGAATTTATATTTAAATTTAATCAAAATTTCACTTTGACCCCCAAATTTAGTTAAAATTTCAATTTAGTCCTCAAAAAAATTTAAGAAAAATTTAAGCCCTAATTTGAGTGTGACAAACTCATTTTATATAAATTTATTGGTTTGGTTTGCACTAGTGTATGCATGGTGAGCTAGTTAATTTCTAAGTAAACCAAGAAAAAAGACGACAATCTCAACCTCTTTTCCATCACTCGTAATCCACACTTTTGAGTCTTATCTTAGCCCCCATTTTCTTTCTAAAATTGAAAGAGAGAGCTTCTGAATTCTGATCAAATATATTTTCTTTATAGTGTTAGATTTCAGTTTTGAGGATGGTATAGTGGTGCTGGCTATGGTGGTTGATGGCTTGGATTGCTTGTTGAGATTCTTAGGGACATGCAAGAAGAATATATGTGGAATATATCAATATGCAAAAAAGTAGTAATTAAA